GAATGGAATTCCTTCCATGTTTAGCCATCGGGGATACACCGTTGGATATAAGAGCTTAGGTACACCATTCGCCCAACACCTTACGAAGGAACCAGCAACTATTTCAGCGAACTAGAATCCATCTAACCTCCCACGGAAGAGGTCAGAGCTCGCACATCACCTTCGTGGACGTTGAAAATCCCAGCTATCGACTTATCGTCCAGAGCAAAGAGAAAAGAAAATTTATCTACCGAAGAATAGGGAACACCTAACCTAACCCTCTCTCGGAACACCCTCGTAAAGCCATTACTCTTGTCTCTTACGCAAAAGAATTAGCTCGATAAAAGAAATTTCATAACGTCCCGTGAATTCCATGGATTAGGTTCCCAGCGAAGCGAGTCCGAGTGTTAGCTCAACGTTCCCACTTTTCGAAACGAACACAGCTTACCACCCCCGATGCCTCGAACGTGATCGAACCGTGGCCAACACGCGGACGAAGCCTCTCCTCCTTGTTCCACAAACAGGAGGTATTTTCGAAGGGAATTTCCAGAAGCTTGCTGACGCGATGAAACAGTTTCAGGAGCCAGACGAAGATGAGAAATATTTAAACGAGGAACGCCAGCTGCATCCTACAGTGTCACTTGACGCCGGGTCTCGCGAAACCCTGGGAGTTGGCATCGCGAGCATTATTTCATCTGGTTTCATATTTGGGAGGAGATCGGCGGGACGGGAACGGGGTTTGGCCGCAATTTCGGCCGCGCGCACCTCTTCTGTTATTTCAGGTGAAATGAAATAATTTCAAAGGCAACGCTCGCTAACACCGACAGCCAGGAAACATTTGGTCGGATGTTCTTGCCTTTCCGACTCCAGGTTTCCCTGCCGACATCCCGTCAAGATTTAGCGAGCAGGGAAACAATAACGTATCTCTTCAGAAAAAAGTCTGGACGTTCCTACTTTCGCGAGTAACGTCAATCTTAAGGGGGTATGTTTTTTTTCTGGGTCGAAAACAGAACTTTTCTTGGTGAACATTCTTGTTGCTCGAGGTCTATTAGAGGATTTCTACCGAGTTGCGTTTAAAGAAATGTGAAATTTCTAGAGGTACGATCGCTAATATCGCGATCCATCCTTTCGGGATTTAAGGGGGAAGCTTGGTTCAGGATATCGGAAATGAGGCATATTTTGAAAGTAACGTATCGAGCGAATCTTTACGAAACTTACAGAAATAATTTTGTTTCGATAGAAAATTAGTAGAGCCTTCAAACAAAATCAACTAAAGATTTTCTTATTTATTACATAATTACTCGTTCTATAAAGTTTTTTTTATATGTCCCTGAGGTCTTTAAAAATTGCCTCGAAACTTTTCCAAAAAGATAGTATCACCTCAACGCCCCCATTCTTACGAAAATTGTCGAAAGCTGTCGTATTCGAAAGCCTGCATTCGTTAAAGAATTTTCACGCGAATCGTAACGTACTCGGTATTAAACAAAATCCATTGTCGAGTACGTCTTTTGAAAACGAGTCGAAAACCCACTGTTTCGACGCGGGAATGACCTATACGCGGTCCATTTTCGAGAACGATCGTCCCGGTGAAACCACTTCGCGTTCTCCTCTGTGTATTCCTTTCATATTGGTTTGAAAGGCCGACGTTCGAATTCCGCGACACGTGACGTAACGAACGATACCATAGCCGATGCAAAACGCGATAACATTCGCTCGAATCGAAACCGAAATTCGAGAACCGGAAAAAATAAATGTTCGCGTCGAGTCGACGCTGGAATCCGGATGAAAAAACAACCGATCGAGTAACTGCTGGCTATTATTTCACCGAAAGCAATTAAACGCGTGAAAAGCGAACGTATAATGAAAATGTGTTAATGAGGAAAGAGGCCGCGATTGGACGCGAATGATCGATGCGATAGCTTTATGGCTAACGAGAGAACAATCGTTAGAGTGTTGCAGGATCGATCGTAAACGTAGCGCGAATTAAATTGTTACAAGCCAGCATCGATCGATCGATGCGAGGATGTCTGTTTTTCAATTATATCTCGAATGGATCGTTTGTTTGAGCAACGTTACAATTAATCGTATCAAACACAGCCTGAATAACCAGTTTATTTAATAAGAGTGACAAGGGCGCGAATACACGCATAAATATATTTTTCTAAACTTTGTGTTTCTCATTTATGATACGAATTTATGTAAAGTCTAGGTATCGCCTCGATAGAAATGTTTCAACGCGTAAAAGGGCTCCTAAATAATAATTTCAAACGTCGGTGAAGGGTTCGAACGAAGACATTAAAGTCTTATCGTTTCGGTTTACGGATTAGAATTACCCAAAATATCCACTCGACGATGGAGGTGTTGAAAGATTAGAATCGATCGATTTTAAACGAAAACGAAGAAAAGAGGACGATCTCGAGAGAAGCAACTCGACAGTTGCCGTGTCGCAAGAATTTCTGCGAGCTTTGCTCAGCTCTTGGGTGTTCGCCGTTTTGTTTATTTATCTCTTTCGGTCCCTTTCTTTACCTCCAGTCTTTTCATCCGGTCCACCCACGTTCGTCGTGGATGTTGCAATAACAGGGACTGCTGCACACCGTCGAGAATTATGTCTACCAGCAACATCTTTGTCCGGCGATTGCGTTCTAGTCTTCCAATGCAGCTATCCCCACGGACACTTCAAAGGCTTGTTCAATGATTATGCCAACCTCCTCGGCGAAGACAGGTATTGGAATATTTCAAACAAAGAAGCTTTGGTTTACTTTCGATCGTTGTAGTTTCTTTTCAAACGAATGAGAAATTAAAAAATCGACAGCTTGGGACATCTATAAATGAAATCTACAGGAAAATTTATAGTCGAACTCTTATGTCCCTGCCGAGTTTCGAGGGAAAATTTGAACGAAAGTCTCGTTTTACTGAATTCATCCAAACTAAACGCTGTAAAATGCCACCATGGAAGTATCGATGATATTTCATTTTCTATCAGGAAATGGAGCATCATCGATCCGTCAGCCGAGAAGAAGTCTTTTGCCATCGCGATTCCCTTTAATTTAAACTTCTTCTTCGGCCAGCGATCCAAATCCGTTCTTTCTCCACGCGATTGGATTCCCATTCGACTCGCTTCCTGCCAGCCAGGAATATCCAAATGCGACTTTCCGTTGCGATATTTTCCCAGAGTCCTGGACCCGTCTGAAAGACTCCTGTAATTCAACGTAACCTTTCTGAATCTTCGATTAAAGTCGAAACCAAGTTTCGAGCTTCTGTTCCGCAACATCTCGATCCTCCACGGTTAAAAAATACAAACAGACGATAGTTTACACGAGAATTCAACGACTTTCCAGGGCCCTGGAAGAAGAAAGTCGGTGTTCGTTGGTCGCGACTGCCTCGTGCTATGAAAGTTAGGCGAGGGCGAGCTACAAATTGGTGGAATGCGGCGGAAATTAGGTTAGCTGGGCCGTTAAGTTGTCTCGCGAGAAATTTCCTTAACACCTGCGACCCGATCCCTTTGTTTTCCGTTGGGATATTTTCGCCACGGACTCTCAGCCAAGATTTCATTCTTCATTTCTTGTTGCACCGCCTCCTACACGATCGAGAATACAGGGCGTTCCTTAAATAATGGCGCAATCAAGCAAGGGACGATTCTAAAGAGAAATTCACATCTTATCGTGCGTCATTTAATAATCTGTAACCGTGAATATATAAAAATGGAAGCCCAATAAGTGTAAACTTGCAGTTGTTCCTGTACTCGATGAACGTTTGGGCTCAATTTCTTTTTTTCTTAAACGGAAAACTTACTTTTTCCAAAAGCAATTATTCACTACTCGATAGTATCGTCGTTGTTGGAACGTCCTGTACAAATCGGGAAAGCAATTTTCGTTGTAATTACGCTTCTAGCTCACGCCTCCGAAATAATTCTCCCACGGAAGCTTCCTGTTTGCGAGTTCCGTTCGCCCGCGAGCACGCCAACCTCGAGATCATTCTTTCTCTCTTCGCCGACTGCGCACGCAGAGAACTACGTTGTTTGACAACCATCTTCCGCTGTATTTCCTTCTGCTCTCTTTACCGCACCATCAACGCTTCGAGTATTTATCTCGGTGCAACGAGGAATACACGTTGTAAAAGTCTGTTGATTTGCGAGCTTCTGATTTAGAAAATTCGAGAGAGAGAAGGAAACGATAGAAACGCGAACGGGAAATAATTTTACAGGGGAACATGATGCTGTAAAAGGTTGGGAGAACTTTCGATTTAGGAATTTTGAGAGAAAGGAAAACAATTTTCCTTTGTATCGTATGTATCGTAAAATATTTATTTTAACAAAGTATCGTACAGAGATGTTTTATTAAAATAACTCGCTAAAATGTCACTCTAATATTTAACGTACGTGTAATAATATACAAGTTGCATCATCGAACTTTCTGTTGCACGAAAAGTAATGTTTCGTCTCCAGAGAAATTTTTCCAAAGCGCGCCCCGAGTTTTCTTCATTTTCTGGATTCCCTTAATAATATACACAAATTTCTCGGTAAAGTTAAAATTATTATTAGATAGATTCCAGCCGGCACGTACACGAGTAGGTATATAGACGCGTTTCCATTTCTAGCGTCAAAAGGAATAACGCTCGAATCGGATATTCCGTTTCCTTTAAAACTGAAAATCCCGCTACGTCGTTTCCTTCGTCGAGACACCTCTAAGCGGAGAATAACCGCGGCGTGGCTCGATGCAGATATATTGTCGAGACGAGGGGGCGCAGCTTGGCAACAGAGAGTGTTTTCGGAACCGTGTTAAGGTTTCCGTCGTTTCTGAGTCTACGACAGAACACGGTAACCGTTGAGCGGTAACGCGTACACAAGAACGAGGAGTTTGAAAATTAATTGCCTCGAGCGTTAAAACGAAGCAAGTCGCGATGTTCCTAGAGACAATTCGACCTAATCTAGTTGCGAGTTGTTCCTTCCGAAAAAAAATTTCTACTTATTAATCCTCCTGATACGTCTCCCTCTAATTACGGCATTTTTTAATTCCCCGCAGGACGCGACCGGGACGGATGAGAGGACTCGCAAAAGTTCGACGCACGAACAATTGAAAATGCAAGAGTCTCTTGACGCTCTTGAGTTTCCGAGGAAATATTAGAAAGAAGCTTAACACCTTTCGTCCGTTCATTTTTAACTAGATTACTAGATAGAGCATAGGAACCTGATGAAAGCGTCCTGTGCAGCCCTTTGGGGCGCTGGGTTTGCCAACGTGAGCAAAACTTTTATAAATTGATGGGTGAAAGTGGAGCTCTTTTCAAGCGTTGTAAAAATATAACGAGCTAACGCTAAATTTATTCAACTAAAAAATTATGGATTGTATATAGTATATAAAATTTAATGTGCAATATGAGAAGAGTCGTACACTGGTTCTATGTACTACCGTGTCTGGCCAGACGTGGTCTCGTTTCACTTTCTCGACACGCACGCTGTAAGCAGACCAGTTCGCACAACTGGGAAGTAGCACGAGCATGTACATGGTCAGACGATGAAGTGGGATAGAACCACGCGTGGTCAGAGGAAGTAGAATACACCCGTGCGTGGTCAGACGTTGATGCACGGTAGAATTACGTGGTTAAAAGAATAGGACGTGTGTATTATGTATCACAACCTTCGATAAATTGCTAAGATGTCGAGAACGAATATAAGTGCCATCTCCGATTGTACTACAGAACACGTCTTCGTCTCCTTGTAAATTGATAACGCGCAAAATGAAACCGCGTAGGAAATATGGCGCGCGAATCGAGAGACTAGAGCGAACAGGGGCGATAAATTTCGTGGAACGGTGGCTTCGTTCGCGACGGTGCAGCCAGGAAAGCAATCTGCGCTGAAAGTCCCGTGGAAAAATATTGAAAACTGGCTGGCTTCTAACTAGGCGGAACACCAGCGTCTCCCTCGTATAACAAGGAACGAAACCATGCACCTCTCGCCATAACCGCTCCACGGAGTTCCTCGTCGCGGTATCCTGGCGCAAGGAGGAGGAGCGGATGGAAAAACAAGACGCCTCTCATCCCCCAACGAGCTTAGCATTTTTATATCGTGGCCCGATGCTTGTACGCCATCCAGGAATTCGTGATATCGGAGGAAGAAGGAGGAGGTGCTCCCGGGTTAACCATTCCGCGAGGGTATAACTTATTTTTGCATTCGAAATATTCGAATTCTCAAGGGGTGTTCCGACTCGAGCGAACTTCTATTCTTTGAACCGAGACTATATGGTTTCGGGCGACCCGGGGGGGAGGTGGGAGGTGGGTTTCTTTTTGTTTCGCGAGGTGAGGAGCTGAATTGCTGGCGCAGGAAGTTTGCATGGTTTGCGGCGCGGAGCAGAATGGTGGGGTGAAAATTATGCATATTTTGGAAGAGTGTATCCTAAGTTGGAATTGAAGTTTTAACGAGGAGGAAGTAGTAGGTAATCGTGATACAACCTGTGTTATATCGAAAACAACACGAATTTTACTACAGTCCCTTTCATTTCCTCATTATTCTCCTCGTAATTACTTATAACTTTCTCATTAATTTCACTTCGATTTCCTTTGATATCTTCATTAATTTCTCGTAATTTTCCTCTCATTTCTCCAACATTTTCCCACACTCTCCTTTTGTTTCTTCTACATTTTCAGCTGCTTAGCTGAATATTCTATTTACCATTGCGAATATGTCCAAGTTGTAGTATTTTTCAAGTCTATTTCAAGGGGAAAATGTTCCTACTGCACGGAAGTTCTTCGAAGAAGAGAACAGTCCGAAAAGAACTGAAACTTTGTAACACCCGGTTAATCGCGACGTTACAATCATCTTACCTCGATATCCCAGTTAACACGTGCTCCGAATGCGTCTACGTGCGAGCAACGTCGCGAAACTTTAAGCATCGAGACGGAAACTTCTGGTTTTCGAATGAAAACTTCCCGAAAGAAAGTTCCATTCGGTCGTAAGCGAGCTTTTTCCGCTTCGCTCCTCTTTGTCGCGTTTATCGCTGACTGCCAGACAGTACCGCGAGTCCACGAGTCACGTTAATACTTTCCAACACGTACTCGACAGGTTTAATACGTCTGTCCAATGCGGTTCGATAGAAATGAGTAAATTTTCCCATAGAGTGAAAGTTGTAATGGATTCCAGCATTCTTTTATCGTTAGAACTATCTCGACGAACCATCGTAGGATAAAGACGACGCCTCGGAGCTCGGCTGGCATTTATGCAAACGGCTGTACATTGATTTATAGCCACGAGGGCCATCGCGCGAAATCGTGCTGACGTAGCTTCTCTGGAAACGGGGAAGCTTACCTTATGTCGACACGTCCAGGATGGCCGAAACTCTCCTGCAGGATTGCCTAAGCGCCGTTCGAGTCGGGAGTCCTGCGTCAGCTTTGTCCGGTTGCTCCCCTTTCGATGCTTGCTGCTGCCAGTATGGATCCATCGTAAATCTCTGCTATTGCCAACGTTAGACGAATAATAAGTTTTATTTCGAGTAATATTATGGTAGAAATAGTGATATCTATTTTATTATGAAACGAAGATGGCACGTTCGTAAGCTGTTAAGCCCCAAAACCGGAAGCTGAAGAATTTCAAGATGTCTACGTCGAACGATTCCTCTTCTAGAAAAGGCCAACGATGTATGCCGGAACGATGAATCTTTTATTCATATAGACTTCCGACTTTGTACCGATAAATCAGAAATTGAACTCCGTAGAGTGTATTGCTGCTCCTTGTTCCGGTCTTTTACCGTCGATGTCGAGGCGAAATTCGTCTCGAAGAATCCTTTGTATAATATCCATCCACCTTCTTAAAACAAGAATTTTAAAATTAGAATTGTACTATGGAATTGTAAATATTTTTGGTGAAAGCTATAAAAAGAATAAAAATGAACTACAGTACAAGGGTACTTTCCCCCACGAAAATGGCAGCGATAAAGGTGAATTTTCGTGGGAGGAATGAACCAAGCGGAATAACGTACGTCTGTGCCGAGAACAGGATCGTCAAAAGCCACTTTCAGTCTCAGACAAAGCGGATTCCCCGAGACGGGGAAAGTTGGGTTGCGTTACATGTCGATTCCTTTGAAAGGGAGCCCGAAAGCCGATAGTCCGAACGTCTAAAGTCCAAAATTTCTGTACCATATTCGATTCAAATAAAAAATTATTAAGAAATAATACTTTCCATTCCCAATTAACTAAGAAAATTAACCAGTCAGTTGTGCTGTCCTTCTTTCAGTGCAATGACATAACCATCCAGAATATCTATACGACAATAGTCGTCGTGACATTCATCGTATCGAATTTTGGTCAGAATTTGACTCCTGGTATCGGGAGAACATGATATGCGAAGAGGTGGCACGAAGGAAATCTGGTATGTATCGAATTCTGGCTTGAAACTTACCTTTTGTATCGAGATCACACGAAGAGCGAACCAGAGAAAGAATGGAAATTGAAGGGAAATGTCGGGAAGTGTTAGGAGATATTAGAAGGTGTTAGGAGGTGTCAGGAAGCGTTAGGAGGTCTTAGGAGATGTTGCAAGGTGTTAGAATGTGTCAGGTGGTGTCAGGAATTGTTAGGAGGTGTTAGGAGTTGTAGAATGGTGAACGAAAAGTGAACGAAAATTTATTGTTACAAAGTAGGAGCGGAGTATGTCCCTGTTAGATGGCAACTGAAGCTAACCAGTTTGTAGATTCGATTGCTATGTCATAGGCGCAAGTGGTGCCCCTGTTATGCTGCAACCGGCTGTAACCTGCATGTCGGTTCAGTTATCACCTCGTAGGCGCAGAAGTGCCCCTGCTATGCGGCAACCTGCACTAGTCGATTTGTCTATTCGGTTGCCATCTTGTAGGCGCTGAGATGCTGTTGGTATGCGAGAATTTTGTTTCGAATAATACAATTGGGCAAAAACCACCTTGAATGACATTAAAATATGAAAGTAAAATACGATCCAATGAGAAAAATATGTAAATATAAATAAATCGGAAATAGGATTGTTAACATTCTATAAAAATGAAAGAAGCTCTAACTAAAATGAGGTCGAAGCTCGAATATCAACAATAAAATCAGTTCAATGGATACCTGTTCAAAAAGCTTCCCGTCAAAAGCTCATCGATCATCGATCGTTAAAGGACATGTAGTCGGATCGATTGATCTCCAAACAGAAACTGGCGTCGAATACCGGGATTCGCAAACAAGATTCCATCGCGTTTTAAACGCTCAAACAAAGTGAAGTGGCCGGACAGCTGATTTATTGCCGGGATTTTCTCCACTCATCCCCGGGATTCCAGTGGTTCCCGCGTCTGTTTCACGCGTGCTCGTTACGTTGGTGTATTAATTCGCGACGAGTGAGCTGAAATCTCGCGAAATTAACGGTGATATTTCAAAGGAATTGGAAACGAGCTCCCATGGAATTTCCCGATCCCTTGAGAACCTCCATTAGGTAATTGAGCCCGTGGTACTCGTGGTATGACTCGATTAATAATTCCAGTAAGTAAGCAGGCGTCAGACGAAGGATACGATTCCAATGTTATTTTCAGGATGTTATACAGGAGTTACAATATTATTGTTCTAAGTATAAAATTCTTGTTTTAACCTTTTATCTTTTTATTGTTTAACTTTTTTCGTTCGTCGAATGTATTACTGACACCTGGATCGTTCCTCGACGCGGAAGCTCCTCGACGTTTCTGTTTCTATCGCGACTCGAAAGCCAATCGATTCATACCCGCCAGAATTCCATTTAATCCTCACAGTTCCCCGTGCATAACCAATAAATATCGGCGAGCGCTTAAGCACGTAGCAAAGATAGCACCCCGCGTATTAATTCCCTCTACAAACCCTTCCGAAACCCTTCGTAATCGGATTTAATCGGATTTATTGATAAAGTTGCGGCGTCACATTTGCTTTAAAGTCCGGCTGCCATTTACAATCGTTGATTGTGACGTTAAAAACTAACGGTTAACTGATCGGACAGATCGTTAGAGTATCAAAAATGTTGGGCGTATTAGAATAATAAACTATTAAAGTACAAAGGGTATCAGAGTGTCGGACCACAAACTATCAGAGCCTCGGATCACCAAAGTAGCGATGTAACAAAGCATCAAAGTATCAATTAAGATATTATATTAACAAACGTCTGCCGTGCCAACGGACAAATAAGTCGTTAAACTCCCAAAGCTTCGCAGCCTTAAAATTCCACAAAATAGAATTCTATGAACCACGCCTCCTCCATCACCGAAGCAGCGTACAGGAAGCAGCCGCAAAATATAATCCATTCCCAGCGCTACGTTTCCTTTAAGCCCCGATGACAACGTGTCCTAGCGAATAACCATAAATGCAACTTACCGCGCGGTATCCTAAAGCCGAATGGATTCGAGCCACCGCGTGCTTGTATGCAAACCTCTCTGCGAGTATTCTTTTCGGGGTAAATTATGGCCCCCGGCGTGGAAACGCGACGAGTCGCGTCGAGGAACAGCTATTTTCGGATGGGCCCGCGAAGGAGACGGAGAAGAGCGATAAAAACGGTGACGTTGATGGAGGGTGAAGCCGGTCGCGACACGGGGGATGATAGAGTTAAAGTCGAGGATGCAGAGGACGTACTCTCGCTCCCGGGACCTCGCAGTTTTTTAAAGGGACGGAATTTGTAATGACGAAGTGGCGAAGAAAAGTGATCGAAGAACAAAGTAATTTCAGATGAAAGAAAATGTTTGCCACTTATGGTTTGGCGCGGCGGAGACGAAGGTTATTTTAAACGCGAGGAATTGCAAGGAATAAAAGACGGTTTTTGTGTAACTTGAAATAGCGGGAGAACCGTTCTCTCGCTCGTTTCTTTGGAACTCTCTTGTTGATCTGGGAGAAAGAAAATTGCGAGAAGGGAGAGCCGTTTCGTTCGTTGATATCTCGGTGCGAATAAATGTAGAAATGTTATTCTGACTTTCGTACAAATTTCCAGAATTATTTTCGTGATATTAGTATTTTATTACATTATAAACATATATCGTATAAACGTATATCGATAACAAAAAAAAAAAGCATTATTCATTTCGACCTAGGAATGACGAAAAAAGGAATACGGAAAAACATTCGTTTCTCGAATTTCATTGCAAAAACCGAAAGTGAAAGTATCGTTTTTACTGTGAACAATTTCGATGAAAAAGAGAAAAAGAACAAAAAAAAAGAATCTGATTCTAAAAGATTCATCTGAACACTACGGAACTGTTACAAACCGGAAGGTATCGTTCTATATTGTCACAGGGACTACGAGCGACGCACAATGAAAACAATGAAATGCGAGGATCGATATTTACAGGATCTTTATTTCGGTAAGTGAACAAAGTATGCCAGCTTACAACGTTCCACTCGAAGCTGCGTGGCTCAGCTTCGCATTACATCGTTTACGTGTAACATTAACCTCTTAACTATTACTTAACACGATCAAGTGTCTGCTATTAACCACAGCTTTACGTCTCACGTGTTGTATATATTGTTCTTATTTAACGCCGTTCGTTATGTTTATGCCTTACGAGCTACTCTATACACTATATGTATACCTGACGCTCTCACTCAAGACTCGTCACCATTGTTCTGTTTATTTTCTCACGAAAGAACTAGGCAGTCGAACGACACCAAAATAGAGTCTCTTTTAAAATTAATGTCAAGTAAACAGACGCAAGTTCTAAATAGTCTCTTGTACGGAATATTTCCAGGTAGCTTACTGGCCAAGAAAAATATTTTTCGTAGCCTTCGAGGTGCGCATAAACTTCGAATAAAAGGAAACGTTTGGACTTGCAAGCATTTCCAAATTGATGCCAAGTAAAGAGATGCAAGTCTAAATTTTTCCACAACGTTTCCACGTCATTTTCGCGTCAAGAAAAATATTTTTCTGAGTCCAGAAGGTGAACATAAATATCGTATAAAAGGAAAAGTCTATACTCGTACGCGTTTCCTCTCGATTAATTCCTCAAAGGAGATTTCATTTCAGGGTCAATTTTCCTGCCTAGACCTTTTGCCGCGACTTTTAAAAGCCGAGAACTACTCGTCATTCGTCCTCTACGTTTCCTCGCCCATTTGCGCTTTCCACGCGCAGCTTTGAAATTGCAAGTTACGAAACGAAAACATCGTGAAACGCGATGAAAAATATTGCCTCTGAAACGCACCGAATAGCAAATAAATCGTACAAGGGCGCCGGATACGTTTTCGAAATTCGATTAATCAAACATACCCCCACGACAAATCAATGCTTATCCACCTAACGATTTCGTGCTAGACGTAGATGTAGTTTCGTTCGAAAATTTATAGTTCTTTGTTTTTCGCGACCACTTACGAACGCATTTGTGTGAAAATAATGTTACGATTGCAGCGAGTCAAAAGACCAAAGAGGCTGATGGAATGTGTTATATAGAGTATATAATAATAGAATAAGAAATATCAATAGAATATTCAAGAAAACTCTAATACAAATTTTAATATCTGTTTTAATTTTTGTCCAATTCGGATGAAATTTTTTTTTTTATAGTCCCTTCGAGGTTTGTCCAATTTAACAAACGAAACAAGACAGAGGAGTCTCGATCGCGTTATTCGTAATGAAATGATTGAAGTTGAAACCCGGCTGACCCGATTAAAACGATCAATATTTGCCCAGAAATAAAGGTAGGAATTTAATTTTCTTAAGTGTTCGCAAATCTGATTACGTAACTGTTTTAATTTACGAAATGGCTCGCTTTCTTCCTATACAAAGTATGCGCGTTCATAAGCGCTCGCGGGATACTTCTTGCGGTCGTTAAACGTTGAACGACATCGCGATAAGAGTACACCACGTCGTCTGTATACACCGACTACCGTAGACCTTACATCGCTAAACACGCTTTTAGATAGAGCATCCACTTAGGTTTATACAGTTTTTAGTCCCACGTTTAGGCGACGCACGAGCCCGCCAATAGAAGCGATTAGTTTGTACCGGAGACGAGCAAGAAATATCTCTTGAAAATCTGGTCGAAAACACTCGACAAAGTTGGAGGCTAGTTGTGCACGAATTTAAAGAATATCTACATACGGAACATCAAACAGCTTTTTGAATAAAACCGAATTGCCGGATGCGAACGAAGGTAAATAAATTCAACTGCAAGAGACTAAAATTTCGTTCGGTAAAGAAATTCCCGTGAATATTTATCAAAGCGGCATGAAAAGTCTAATTCCGTGGACTGAAATTTAAAAGACACGGTTTTATAAAATGAAGAATCCAACCGACGGTGGATAATCAGTTCGTAATGATTTCGCTAATGAGATATGGAGAGAAATATAAAAATAACATCGAGTAAAAAGATTCGACGTATATAATAAACCTTTAGGAATATTTTTAATAACGCGAAAAGAATTATTTTTAATTGGTACGGTGGCGTTTAACGGTATTCAGGATTAAAGTATCAAATTTTCTCCAAATCTTCAAATTGATATTTTTATTGGCGGTTCGCGATCGTCCAGAATGAAACGACGACGAATACAGCACCGAGAACACCCAACCAAGGTTCCACCTACGAATTTCCGCTTACTTATGCTATGTACACACCGCATGCACGTCTATATATGGACACCCTTATCGTCTACAAATATCAAAAGGATTCACCCGATTCTCCAGGCCACGCGGGGCTTCGATTCATCCCTCGCTCTCTCTCTCTCTCTCTGAAGCCACACACCTCTCGTAGCTCGCCTTTAGGTGTCCTTAGCGTCCCCCCCCCCTCGCACCGTCGATAACAGCAGCACAAAGACGAGTCACGGGGGTGTTCGCGAAAAATAGAGTCAATTTACGGGGGCAACGTTGCCGAATATGATTATCGAGCAAAGGGAAATTTCCACGTGACAAAGAACACAACAAATACAACTGTTACAGGTAACTTAAAATCTTATTACGGGTAACTTAAGATTACGTATCAATTGGGAACTGAAAGGAAGATCCTGCGAATCGAACGAAAACGAGTGCACCAGGATTCGTTGACCTCCTGCTACATTATATGAAAAATAAATTGTGAACTTCAGGACAGATGCTTTCCTACAAGTTTAATCGCGATTACTCGACGTAGCAGGTCTCTCTTGGAAAGCTGAAACAAAATTCATGCAACGGAAGGTTGACACGGCACGTAACGGAACGTGAACTCCACCAAAAAAACGAAGAATGAAAGATACCGTACGAAAGACACAACTTCACCAGCGGAGCCCGAATGACCATTTCAACGTAAAGGGCCCGTCCAGTGGAGAACGTATTTCCCTTTGTTGATCGATGGTTCTACGTGGTCTACGCGAGCCGTTCGTTATGAGAGTGACGCGACCTGTTTTCAAGTATAAAAAACTTTTCCACACCTGTCTTACACCGAAATACGAACGTTAATTGACTGATCCAGGAAAACGTGTGCTAAACGTATCGATGCCAACATAAAGATACGTGCATCGCGAAGAAGAGCATCGTGCACTTTGTGGAACCTTAAAACCTTATCTCAATTTTGTATCAAATTCATAAATAAATACAATAAATAAAAGAACTCGTACAATAAATCCTATCCACCCTCCACTCTTTGCTCGAATAAAAACGAAACATATTCTCCAAACGACCCCTGCGAAATCTCCATTTAAAAAAGAGAAAAGAAAACCTCGGCAAGTACCACTCTCATGGCGAACGGCTCACCCATTGTCATCGAGTCAGGATACGATGGCCGGCGATCGTAGGGTACCCAGAGGCCGCCATGGCCTCGATCTTTGGAAACGATCTCCGTACCTCTCAGACTCGGTCACGCCGACTCGCGAGCAGTGGATCCCGCGTCGATCGATCGGCCGATGAAACTAAACGACCCTCAACGTCGGGGATCGTTCACTACCCGTGATGATAATAGATCTTGTCCTTGCAGTTGCAAGTGGCGCCGCAGAACTTCCGTCGTTCTCTACCCTCCTTGGTGTTCGTCTCGCAGACCCAGGCCCGAAACGTCCTCACCAGCTCGGCGCAGTTCGACCAGAGATCGGTGTAGTAACAGGCGTTCGTGCAGAGCTTCTTGCGCGTGCAATGGTCCTTGCACATGCTGCAAGGCTGCCCAGGCACGTAGGGATGGCCCAGGTGACCCTTGTAATTGCCGCTGCGAACAGGAATCGAGGGGTGGTTAGCTGGGAATTCTTTGGAACCACGAGAACCGCTGGATGAGTATAGAATTCAGCAATTTTTATATGCCTCAATGAAACCTGGACAAGAGTAAACTTTAACTCGCCTATGAAGAAATGCAGCGAACCCTTCGTGGGTAATTTTAATAAGAAATTAATGTGCCTCTTCCCTCTGGAATTTAAGCAAGCATATTAGGTATGCGTTGACTGTTAAACACTGAATGTTGCACGCGATTTAACAGAGAACCGTCGGCCCGCCTTTACCAGTCCCTCGACGCTTCCATTTTCCCCTCGTCGCCAAAACACCAGGGAACGACCTTAAGCCAATTTCCAAACGGAGCGTCGGCCACAATTAATTTACATTTAGAGTATTTTTGCCGCGGTCCCGACCGCAATCATCGCGCCGTGTTTTGAATTCAAATGGCCGGCTGCCCTACGTGTATATGCGAAATTAATTACGAGATCGCGCCAAACACGGGCGAAGGAAAATTATGGCTGAACGCCGGAGCTTTTTTTACTTGTAAACACTGCTGTTCGAGTTAGAGAAATTAATCTATTAAGAATAAAAATAATCGAGGTAAGATACCAAGATTCCAACACACGCCAGCTATGTATCAATTGTAACTAGACTACGGATATGCAAAAATATACAAGAATGTGTACAGATATATGAATATTCGAAACGTTACACCATTCGTAAGACGAAACATACTTCGACCTAACGCTTCTTCATCTGTGAAAATAAAAATATAAATTTGCGTACATATCCACAGTCTAATTATTTCAAATTGTTTCGTCATACTTATTTCTATCGCGGCGAAACAAGTGCATGCGCATACAACGAGACAGCGTCGAGGAGGAAAAAGCTGTTTCGAAACAGCACGTGCGCCATGTCGAGCGACGGAAATTCTCTACCAGATTCCACGGCGCGGTTTAATTGCCGAGAGATTTGTAGCGAGTCGCCAAAAAGTGGCCACGCTCGGGAAATACCAGGAAAAGATGCGTTCCCCCGTGGGAACTGGGTCAAACATCGGACGAAGTCGGTGAAACGTGATTCGTTCGTTGGCAAAAAGCAACATTCGCTTGTACGAAGCGTGCCAGAAGAACGTGCGAAACGCGATGGTCGTCGAAATCCAGTCCATTCCAAGTCGGACCAGGAATACTCGCGATTGTCCGTTGTCGCGCGAACGTCGAGCTAATTACCTTAAACAGGCGATCGATCTTTTCGATCGTGGATCGCGTTTCTATAATAAATCGTCGACGATCCGATCGACTTGAAAATAGGTTACACGCATCGACGAGAATAATTAATTCGCGAAATGTCCTCATTCTGGAACGCGAGATAAATCACGAGAATAACGGAAAGCCTGGAATGAAAGTGCACGGTACGTTGGCGGGTGCACGCGCGGTGGAGCAATCGTGAGAAGCTCGAAGGGAATACGTACGAGGTGCTTCAACTCCTCATAGACGAGCGTATTGTTGGTAGTCCACATTGTATCGCGTTTGCTTTAGCTGCTCGTTTCCCGCGTTCTTTATTCTCCCCTGACAAGTGGTTCTTTCGCGGGTCGGCTGCTGTATTGCGCGCTTCGCTGTTCCAACGCGTACCGAGGGAACAACTCGATAGTCTTGGCCGAGAGTGCCAATCGAATCCTATCCTAACGAATCAATTATTTCTATAACTGAAATAGATAACGGAATCCTTGTCCAATCGTAGAATAAACAGAGAAATTTCATCATTCCGACACGTTTAAATGATTCACAATTTAAGGCTCACTCAATCGACGAGTTGACTCTTCCAGGGCCGGTGCAGAGTCATTTTTAAATTGTATGTCGTCCTGTTCAACGTCAAATATCTCCAAACACGAGTCGATGCCTTCATTCTCAACGCAAAGCCTCTCTCAATCGTCGAGTTAATTCGTCCTGCCACAGCGCAGAATCATTTTCAAATGTTATCTCGTTCCATCCAACGACAAACATGCCCAAACACGAGTCGATCTTTGATTCTCAACGCAAGGCCTCCTTCGATCCACGAAACAACTCGACCTACCCCAGTGTAATATCATTTTCAACCATTACCTCGTGCTGTCCAACGACAAACATCCTCAAACACGAGTCGACCTATCCCAGAAACACTTCCAAACGTCGAGTTAACCCCTGCCTATCCCGGTGATTAAATCTATCCGCGCTCAAGCGAACAATACAGAGATCTCTGTCCACGCGGAACAATCCCGTTTCCAACGACGCCAAACCGCGAAGCGCAAGATTAAACGTCCGCTAACACGGAAACGGCGAAACATTTTCGAAGCAGGCGCGCGTTACACGACCACCGGAACACGCTGTATCTTTCAATTGGGAGGTAATCCTGTTAAAGCTCGAGTCGCGATTGTTATTCTCCCAGCGAGCCACTTTCCACGCGTAACGGCCAACGTAAAATGAAGTTCCCGGGGAACCCGTTCGGAGGGGAACAAACATCGATATAATGGAGTGCGAGAGTACGCGCAGAAACCACTGGATGGCTCTTCCGGATGGTGTGATACCGCGCAGCTCCATTAGCGGTAGTTACAACCGAGGAGAAGGCTGATTGTACGCGGAAAAAAAAAACGAGTCTATAACAAAGTCTGTGCACGGCGGATAGCCGGGCCGAACGGCGTTGTTTTAATCTGTATGCTCACCTTGGGGCGTAGTTGCACACGTACATGAAGAAATCCTTGCCCAACGGACCCCTGCCGCCTGTGCAGTGGCTAACCCCGCAACCAACCAGGTGCGTCGTCGCCCACGCTATCTGGGTGTAATGGCCGATCTCGTGCAGGTCGTTTGTCTCGTCGTCCCCGTACTTGTAGTCTTTGTACTCCATGTACCACATCCTGATGGGGAAGTTCCTGCGAACAGAGGGGTTGAAAGGTCAGAGGTGCGTCCGGGAATTCTGGGTGCATTCACAGAGTCGAGTGGAGGGATGAATGTTTAAATAATACCTTCTTAGGGTGTACCCTAGCAGGAAGGAGGGAGGCACTTCGATAAAGGATTGAATAGAAAGTGTATGCTTTGCTTTACTTTGCTCAAGTGGTATTGCACAATTTTCTGACTCGAACTGAGAAACTAGAAATGGGGAGAGGGGTTGCCAAAATTGGCCTACTTTCGAGTAGAGATCCTTCAAATTATAGTGTTTGGGTATGAAGAGCGACGCATTTCAATGAAAGACTGAATGGAAAGTATACGCTTTGTTTGACTTTGAGCTATTGCCATTCTCAAACTGTATACCAGAATTCAATAGAAGAACAATCCTCTGAATTAGTGTTTGGTTGCAAAGGATGTATCCCAATGAGAAAGGTGGTTTCGTCTAGACTCCAATGAAGCTTTCTCCATTGAAATGTCCCGGTCACAGGGAAGATAATAGAAGAAACGTTCCGTTCGAAAGAATCGTATGGAATCAATTAAAACGGAGACGGACGTGGTGCTCCACGGTTCCATCGGAATTGTTCGCAGGACAGAAAGACGTGGAAGTGACATCGGCGACAATTGTTCGGCGAACGTCAACAGGTGGCTCCCCGAGGAGACCAACGAGTGCGAAAGCGAGTTATCGTTAGACAGAAATAGGACAATAGCGAATTGTAATCCCGAATAGGTCGAAACTTTCGTGTCTGAACGATAATCAGCTCTTTCACTGAAACGCTACGGTCTTCGATGTATGGGAGCCAGGAATAGACCTGCAGTGGAACATCCTATTCATAGCCAGACGACGATATTTGGAAGAGGAAGCTTTTGGATAATCGATCGCCCAGTTTTCTAAGATTCTGTTATATACTGTAGCAAACGTGGTATAAATAACAGAAGGGGATGAGTTTGAAACTTTTAAAATTACATCATTTTCGTGCAGTTGAACGCTTCCTGAAATAGGACACTCGGTATGATATAATGAAATTCATGTCACTCTTGGGCATAAAATAGAAATTAATTGAATCGATATTATACCCGAGCAACCAAAGAGAATGGAAACTCTTTTCGAACGATTTAAAGTAGATCAAGCTTGTAATTCTGATTGAACCGACTTCGAAAAGGTTACTCGATTCGACGTGTATTTTTTAACGACTGACTCCGCTTCAACGTCAATCGTTCCCAAACGGAACGTGATCGATTCCTTGCGAAAATGTTCACTCAGGAATTGATAACGCAAGAAATTTCCAGCACGGAAAGCAGATACGTTGGTTTTTTTCCTAACGATGGCGGTCGTCGCGAAAAGACAAAAAATTCAATTAATCGAAGCGTATCGACGGACCAATTCAACGAGAATAGAAATTCGATTTTCACTGGTATTTCACAATATCTGGCAGTTGGAATTCCGCACTTCGTGCGCCAGAATTCCGCGGTTGCTCGGGAACCGCGAAACAATCATCCGCTGTAATAGATCTACCTTTCAGAAACGAATGGGCTCTGCGCGTGGCAGCGTTTGAAAGAATACTCCCTCGTGCAAAGTTAAACGTCCACTGTACCCTCGTTATCCCGTCATGTGTTTAAAAAAAAAAAAGTGGGTCAAATTGCGCTGGAATTCAAATAAAATTAGAATTAACACGTCGACTGCCAGTCCGATCCACATTGAACTGCATACAGGGCTAAAATTTTGTCACGAAACAATTAGAAACTATAGAATCTAACACTTGTCGTATCGCTTATTTTGTATCCCTATAAAAATTAAAATTAATTGTTGAAGTTGAAGTTGAGTGAAAAGCTCTGTCACCCACGTATGGATAACGTGGCGATCAACGTGTTAAAATAATAAACTTCGGAGCTCACCAAAGGGTTCGTCCCGTTGTTATGAAAATGTTTTGTCCGCTCTGGCCGAAACCGTCCAAGTATAGGCCAGTTGCATTGTCATGGACCAATCCCAGACACTGATTAGCCCACCTCTGCGCCGATTTAGCCAAGCCTGGATGCCACTTCTGAAACAATCGTTTCGTCGGAGTTAGTCGCGTTAAAAGAACCGGAAGGCACTCGTTCCAGTTTGGCCCATGAAACCAAAGCGACCGTAAGAAAACGCCGCCTCGATTATTCGAACCGGTGTCGTTAATTTCCCAGGCAACGAGCCCTGTTATAATCGTAACAGTTGCGATCCAAGTTCCCTCATAAAAATTTATAGCTTCCCTCGACGACGCGATATTGCATACCGTCGTCGAAAGGGTGTTAAACTGCTCGCACGGACGCCTCCGCCAGGACGAGTATCCCTCAGACACTTGTAACTCGCCCACGCGATGTCCATGAAGATTACACGGATAGCGAGAGCTAGCGTTCGCCTCGTCGAACACGATTACGCAGGATAAACTGTTTTAAACAACTGTCTATTAAGATGCAAGGGTGTGGGTGGTCGCTCGGGTATTTCAGAATCAAAGTCAGAAATTGATATCTAATTAGTTCACGAATATCACGTACCCTCTTTGAATCGACGATATATATATATATTCTGCTTCTCTTAATCGATTCGTATTTCTGTCTGTCTGAACTTTACTTAATTTCAACTCACTCTTCCGAAAGATGAATTACTTTAAAATTAAAATGCCACGAGGCTCCTTCGAGACTGAATATTTCATTCAATTCAGATAACGTTCACGATTAAATTTTTACAGAATCGCTTCGCATCTAGATTTCACATCGTCGACGATTTACATTTAATTTCCAATCGATACGAACCAGAATAATTCCGGTCTGCAAACTATTCGCGGGAACGTTCACCCCCTCCGACGCAGACGGGATTCTCCCCCACGGTATTTCGCAGTTAAAAAATTTCGACGCGCTCGTATATCTCGGCGAGGGATGAGTATAATGGATGAATTCATCGCGCGTACAGCGACGACGCGATAAATTTTTATGAGGCCGTTTACAATGCAAGTTTTCTCGCGAGGGTATACGGCGCGCTGTATAAACGAGTTAACGGCGTGTCGTCTTGCTTCCAATCCGACGTAACGAACCCCGTCCGACGCGAATCAAAAACGCGACATACGCGAGATCCTCTCCGGACGAAAACGAGTCGGCTTTAGGGCTCGATACTTAGGCTCGCAAATTTTTAAAGCATCGCGGAAACATGATTTGCAGAGACTTGAAACTCTTCGGAGTTGCCGACATTATTTCAGATTTTTAGAAACTTACAAACGATGATAGTCCTGGTAGCGTTGAAAGTCTTTCAGAGACTTTCAGAGACTTGCGAACCACATACGGTCTTGATAGTCTCGAAACTCTTTAGAATCATCAGGACTGTTAAAGTCTTTGAAAATGATAAAGACTTGCAAAGAGTTGAAAGTTATTTTGAATCATCTGGAAATTCGTTCCTCGACTCCAGACGTCTCGAATCGCGTTACTAGTTTCCAATTCGAAATTATCTCCGCAAAGCGAACGAACCGAGCTATTTCACTCCGGAATTAGATCTCTCCCCCCCTCTCTCTCTCCGCCCCTCCACGCCTCCGTCCACGATTATTAATTGCACCAGTGTTTCTATTAACGCGCTTCGTTCGCGATGCAATGCAATTATTTCGGTTAAATGGACTCCAGACAATTAGACTAATTGTATCCAGTTGAGCGTCCGGTATCCAGGCGTCCCTGTGCTCGGTGTCTCTTTTGTGAATGCAATTTAAACAATCTTTCACCCGTTTTACGTTCGAACGCGTAATCTGCTTCGTGAAACTTGTAAAACGCTTAGCGTTTCGGGGAGACTTAACGAACGACGGCGTTAAAAAAAGTACGAAACAACTTAAATTTTCCTTTTACACGAGGTACATGTTGAACTCGAACGAATTCCCTCGCAGTTAATTTCTCGAAGTAGATTTCATTTCAGCGACAAGCATGTATCCGAATTCATTTTTGTCTAGGCTTCCTAATTAAAGTGTACCCGAAAAAAGAAAAAAAGAAAAAAATCATAACGAGGTATATCGAAACTGATATTTAAAAGAACCAAGGAAGACCAATCTTTGAGTATCTCGAATACATTGATCGTCGTGAACATTCGCATTAATGTTGGCAGCCTCGAAGAGGGCCTGTTAGATCCCACGCGTCGCAGGCAGACTCGCAAACAGCGCCCAAGAACTCCCACGCGTTCCCTCAAAGCAAAATTACCAGCGTATTCAAAGGGACTCGTGGAACACGTCGCTCCCATGTAGAACCAATCTTGCATACCGACGAGTGCAGCGGGATTCGATTATTCCGTTGCACTTGATCAAGTGCGACAGCCTCTCCAAGTAACAGGCGATTCGAGCGACCGTTTAAAAGCGTTCCGAAGCGGATCGTTGACCGTTCGAGCGAGTGGAAACATCTGTAACGCGGCAACCTAACGACCGTGTGTTCTCCTCGGAACAGACAAATCCCCTTTCGAGGAAGCAACGAGCTGCGTACCCGGGTCGCGTTTTCTTTCCTCAAAAAACAACCGAGCCAGCTGCTTTTGTCGCGCTGGCTAACGAAGCGTAGCCAAGGACACAAAGGCAACCGACGGTTCCAGCGAGTTTAACCCTTTATTTGCTAATGCCGGGAACGTCATTTTCGCGTACGGCTTAATTGGAATTTCCACGTCGACTGGGTCAGGTATTACACTTTCGTATTCTTCGTGGTAACCCTTGGAAGTGTCTCGGGGGAGCGAGTTATGAACGCTGAGATGACGAGGAGCCCCTTTCTCGCGGGATGTAACGATAGTGGAGATCTTTTCTTGACGGTGGTACGAGTCTGACGTAGGTATCTCGCGTCGAGTATTTGTGAATTTATATATTTATGTATATATGTATGAATCTTCGTACGCATATCGATACATTCAGGTAGTTATAACGATTTTGGTTGCTCGAATTTTAGCTGACACTAGAAAGCATGCTACAAAAGGACCCCATCAAGATTTACAGATCGCCTCTGCGGGAATGTACTTCGTGTAGAATTATATTATATACTTTCCGATCGTCTTGAGACAAAGGTTCTGTCTGGTAGCCAACGTGTCAACGTATCCATCCCCTTCGGTAGCACCCCAACGAGGGTCGCAACCTGTAACCCCGTAAATATTGAAAGCCTCGTGCTTCATTTGGCTTGGCAATCCGGTCACGTTGTTACCGCAGCTCGGCAGAGAGTTCGCAGTTAGAGGTAACGGGAAAGAAACAAACAAAGTGTTACTGGGTCGTTTCATAGAATCCTCGGGAGCGTGCAATTCCTTCGCAACGTATGATACCGAAAGATTTCCGGTGGATACTTCCATTGCGTTATCGATCCCGCTATCGATCCCGCGCAATGAAATCGAAGGAGAACGACATTGTTTATACCAAAAGCGGCCACGCCTGATTATGTAAACTGCAGTTGGTGCGTTAAGTTTAACGTCTCGTCGGGACAAACGCGATCCGAAAGTAATTTCCATCCTCGCGATAAAGCCCGCGGGATTTCGGTTCAGCTCTTTCTCGACCGAGCATTTCGGAAATCGTAAACGAAGTACCGATAGTGCTTTCTATTGGGTACTTTTGAACGTAACGAGAATGCTCGCGGAAGTCGACGGAATCGATTCCACGTTCTGGAGAAAATAACACGGAGGAGTGGAGTGGAATGATTAGTTTTCGTTTCGAGAAAGGATTGAATCGTAATTTTTTTTATGTTTCAAGGGTGGGTTCGCGCCGCTATTGTAGCCAAGATTCGAGAATTTTGTTCACGAAGATTAAATAGAGATTTTAGTAAGTTTAATAAGAGAATTAGGAGACGGTATTTCCCCACAGAGTACACTGCGACATCGAAACCAGCATCAGCACCCACGAGAAACCAAAATCTCTCTTGTGGACTTTCTTGAGAAAAAAATCTCCCTCCATTTGTCGAGTAAGATTAATAAATCTTCAAGGTGTTGGTCTCGGGTACCAAGGAACCCCCGATTCTAGTCTGGAACTAGCAGTGTCGGCAAAATTGCCTCGAATATCAGGCAACATCCCGGACCCTGGTCCCTCGAATCGTTCAGAAATTGTATCTCGAAGGTGAACGAGAACGATGAGTCAGGAAAAGGCGAGCGTCTTTCAGAGCGATCACGTTCCAACATGGAGGTTCCAACATTGTCCGTGGACACGAGCTCTCGCATCGATAGAAACAGCCCCACGGCCCTGTTCGTCTCCTCTGAACGCATTACGGTCTCATAACCCTGAAAGACGCGAGGCGAGGGCCGCTTCTCAACCCCTTAAACCTCCTCGCTTCCTCGATCGGTCTTCCTCGCCAGGCTTTGAAGTTCCATCGATTTCGCTGGATCACCGGGCGAAATCCCGCGGCGCGGATACCCCGCTGGTAATTTTCCAGCACTCTTCCAGATGGAATCGTCTCGGGATTCCTCGGGCTTCCGATCCGTGGAAATTACGATTGGCTCGCGCTTAACGCGATCGCCTCCGTCGAGATTTGCGTTCACGGGCAAAAATTGGGATCGTGGCACCGCGGAAAGTTGAGACTGAGGAGATTGGAGGCCGTTCGTTATCTCTACTTGGTTAGATTGTTTCTTGAGAACTGAAGCGTCTTTTGGAGACATTCCTCTACGCTCAGAGAGCGCTTGGAGTTGTGAAGGATTGGGGGATGGTGAGCTTATCATCGTTGACAAGTTTGTGTTCACGTAGATTTCTTGGGAAGAGATACATTTTATCGGTGTGATCATTCCTACGTGGTTTTATGCATCGACCGTGTCAAGTCTTGTCATGTTTGCGCAAAATAATTAGATTTCATCTGTCTTATTACTCTTGAGATATAATCGACTAAAAGAAAATAACAAATCCTTCGTTTAGACGATATTAAATTCATTCGAATACGAAAAAAAGAATTTTCCACTTTTCCGTGCGATGCAAATGGTTTGATACTGTTTATAGAGTCTTGGAAGAGGATGGACGAGAATTTTTCAAATTTTCTGAAACCAAGTCCACTTGATGGGCCGATAGTAAAATAATTATTTCACCCCGACGAGAACAGGAATTTTTAATCGAAATTCCTTTTTCGTCCTTACAAGGAGGAGTTACAAGTGCCTCGGGAGAATCAGAAACGCCCAATGTAAATTTTCCGATACATAATCGATAGGAAGCTTGCCAAGTACTTACCATTACGAGCATGTTAGCGGCGGAAGGTTTGACCTGGGTGCGAAAGTGGTTGTGAGTATCGACGATCTTCTGCCTGACCTTGCTGTTGCTAGTCCTGATTAACTTGACGGGCACCCTCTCGCCGTAGAGCCTCGGCGCTGCAAGCAAAGGCAAACGTTCCTCTCAGGTCGCGATAACCGATATTCGTTGCCAATAAAAGTCCTCTCTATACGCGTTGCCCCATTTCCTCCCCCTTTCGCGGCGGAACAAGTGTCCGCTTTAAAGGGGAATATCGACTGCTTCGGCTACGTCCAAACGAGCAATAACATTCTATTTTCATACCCTTCAACCTTACAGCTGCCGCTGGATGCGACGCCCCATCTCGAAAATCAGATGCAGCGAGAGAATTTCCCTTGGAATACGGCTACTGGAAACGCGTTCTTTCAGAATAACGCGTTGAAATGTTTCAAAGTTTCTTTGGTAGAATTAAAGGTGATCGAGAAGAACTCGAATCGTAGAATCGGAGAAGGCTAGAATTCAAAAGAAGTCTAAAACTGACGAATTGAACACATCGAAGAATTGAGAAACCGAGGAATCGAACACGTCGATGAATGAAGAAATTGAAGAATTGATCGCAACGAAGTGTTCAGACACCGAGGAATGGAAGAAATTAAAGAATTGTAAAGAAACGAAGAATTGAGAAAAATGTTAAAAATAAAGACTCTAAGAGCCCAAGAGTTCAAGATCCAAGTATCGAAATATTAAGTACATCGGTTTCAAAAGAAAGAACTCAAATAATGTATATTGTAAATGAAAACTGAAACTCGTTGCAGAACTGATTTATTACGAGCGTCGTGGTTCTCTAAATTCACCCTCGAGTAAATACGGAGTACGAGTTTCTTTGGGACGCAGATTCGACGACAGCTGCGTCGAGATTTTCGCCGCGGCGCAAAACGAACGAGAAAACCCTTTCCTCGACATCAGCAGACCATTTTCTGGCGAATCTATGGGGCGAACTTTTGTGTCAGGGACTTGGCGAAAAAATTCGTGAAAATTATGAGCCCCGGATTTATATTGAATCTCGATAGCGCTGTACCCAAAGCTCCCTTGTAGCTCCTGCAGATAAATGCTGCTGTCTTCGATCCAACCACGTCGATTCAAACGTCGGACAAATTTTCTAAAGCTTAAAGAAGTTTCTTAATGTTACCAAAAACGTCAAGCCCATTAAAATCGTATATTCGTGACATAAATTACGGCTCGATTTTCCGATTGAAAGGCCAACATTTGTCTAAGGAAATTCCCCGCGAGTTTAACTACGAAAGATAAACGTCGTCAAGCGATGAATTATTCCAGAACTTTGTTTCGAACCCTAAGTAGGATCGACCATTTGACCCTAACTCGTGAGCGAGCTATTCACTTTGCCAGGAGCTGACCCACGATGGGCCAAATGTTAAATTAGGGTCTGAGATTGTTTCGACCGAGATTTTATCAAGATACGAGTGGATAACGTCTGATCCCTCGAATTCGTAACCCAATAAATTAGGATCGCGAGGAATTTACAAGGAGATCAAGTTACAAGGAGATCTTTGTCTGCGCTCGGGAGCTTAGCGAATGACAGTGGAGATTGGATGATTTGAGAATGGTCTCAACAACGGATAATTTCCAATGATTCCGCGTGACCTGGCCAGCCTAACTCTGTCAGGGTGAATTTAGCATTAGGTTGTCCTGAAAATTTCTTTCGCAAGTTGTATGCGATAATTAGTACGCGATAATATAACAAAATTCATATTATAATTGCAGAGTAAAATAAATTCCTATTTGTGTTCAATTTTTGTAGGTACGTTTGCGAACATTTTATAAGGTAAAGATGCACAATGATCCGCGGTATAGCAATAATTCAAGGTGTATCGACTAGCCAGAGAGTAACTATAACTAAAATAAAATGTTCAATTCAGAAACCAGGGTATGCAATTAAATGTCCCGATACGAAGTATGTTTTCGAAATTAAACGAAACCCATTATTATCGCGAGAATGTTACTTTGTGTGCACGTTTCGTTATTTTATCCTCCTCCCGCGTGATTATTGAAACTTCACGAACAGACCTGTCATTGCAGACCACTTCCGAGTTATAAATGCGTGCTATCGATGGAAACCACTCTGTTAATTATACCATACTTTAAACTGTATTCTCACGTCGTGCGCGTTATTGTATTAATAAAAGCGACAGAGTGTTTTACGTTTACATCGAAATTCTGCTGGACATCATATTTCGCTCAGTTTCAACGAGTTCGTTTCAAACCGTGCACGGCGCTCGTACGAAATTATTTGTAACATTTCGCGTGCGACCATTTACAAAAAGAAAAAACACAGAGCGTTCCGTGACATGTGGTGCGATTGACAGACAGGGCTTTGTACACGCAAAAGTGAACCAAAAACGTAGAATAAATTTTGCAGACGTACTAACATCTACGATATAGTTTTGCAGAAAAAATTACTTCTGAGAACTGCGTTATGTTATTTGACTGCGATGTTAGCGTGCGTGCGTCAATTATAAAAACAGAAATAGAATTTTTGATTACACGTTTTTACCTTTACACAGGTAAAAACATTGCGTTCGAGCGTGATCGACATTTCTATCGATATGAAATAAACAAAATTCCGGTGAAATGCGGGCCCCAAACAATTTCAAAATTGTTTTCCTCGAAAACAAGGCAAGGATTGTAAAAACTTCATTCCACGTTTCCGATTTTATTTTTCGTGTAAAATAACGAGAGCAAAAATGTCCTCCAAAATTCTACTAAAATTGCGACGTACTAGTAATAATACTAATCAGAGTATCATTTATATTTGGACATGTGGACATGTTAAATTTCAAGCTCGCCGCCGTAAATATCTAGCTCGAATAACGACTAAAGTGAAAAATAGGCTAGCCTGTGTGTACGGACATAAATTGTTTGCAGATCACAATTCGCGACCCGCATTTTCACCGATAACGTTCACCGTGCCGTTGAAACCGAGTTGAATTTTAAATATCAGAGATAAAGACCGTGGGAGTATAAAACAGAAGATATCAGAGAGCGCGAAACGTCCTTGTTATTGCGCGAGAAAATTTGCGACACGTTCTCGTATCTTCGTACAGGTTTTCTTCTGCATAAATTCTGCTCGTAGATTATGGAATTCCCCGAATACTCGCGGAACTATAGCGGCGTATATACACTACAGCATCCCTGAGCGTTGTTTACAGATACTTTGTGTCGCTACTTTTTTCCAACCCCAAAAATAGAGACGACGAAGATCGGAACCGTAACAGCTGCGCATAATTAATACTCGTGGAATTTTTCAGGAAACCTCTGCGGTTAAAGCATTGGAACGATTGCTATTATTAATAAAAAAAAAAAAGTGAGAGCAACTTCTTAGACACAATGGTGAAATTTTTGTCATCACGAGTCTTTTATATCATTTTCAGAATACCTATTAGCGAATGAAAGTTGGATAAGGAGTATTCAATCTGCGTGAAAATGTCGCGCAAACGTTAAACGAGTCTGGGATGTCGTATTAGAAATTCCACCTACGAAATTTGTTATTGGAGGCTTCGGAGGGAATACAATATGTACGTATTTTCATCGCGATGCAAGCACGAAATCGGAGACTCCGCGTTGTAGTCTAGCTGAATGAAACTTTCAAGGCTTCCACGACCTGTATTCGTATCAACAATAGGGTTCCCGATATAAACCGTGTACACAGCATCCCGTGTAACCAGAGCAGTTTAATTCTACGTGGTTAGGAGGGAATATTTTTCGTATAAATGGTCAAGTGAAGTTTGTTTTAAAGGTTTTAGCACGGAACATTGGACAGTCCTAGCAATTAGCAACGTTTTCGGAGGTGGAAGGAGAGAAACGATTGAAATAAATGATACTTTACTGGGTTTACTGCGATGCGTCTTCCGTGGCACGGCCGCCGGCAGCGCCAGAGCTATCAGGACGATAATCCACAGCCACCTCATAATTTTCGATTACGACCTGGAACACACGAACGGACATGTTATCCCATAAAACTGATAAAAAGTTGCAGGGGGAATTTAAAACCTTAAGGGGACAGCGTAACATCCGTGCGATATGATGTAAGGCTTGCGTGACTCCTCGAACGCCCATGTAGTTGGAAAGGAATTATGGTTTCGCGCGCTACGTACCTCAGAAAATACCAATTCCTATATTACCATAATATTTCATTTCACATTTTCCTAATAATAACATCGTTGCGGAAGCACGAAGACGTCGTGTGTCCTCTAATTATTTAAAATTAATCGTCTAATTTTTCTATCGGTTCTCTTAATCCTCACTTGACCGATTAGTTACACGTGACCACCCAACAAAAAATATCACGTCGTCTTTGAAGGTTTCCTTGGCGGTGTACGTATTTCAAAAACCTGGATCGACTTCGCCGAACGTAAAAACGTGAAAATAAAACGGTAAGCCAGGAAGACTGCGTCCTGCGAAAGTGCACTCAAGGGCTGCGAGTTTCCTCTACTAAAGCTGGACTTTTTCAAAACAGTGCGCTCGAACAGATTAAAAAATTAGAGATCTTGTAGAGTAAGGTTCACGGAAAACCGTGATATATTTCTTTTTTATACGTTTTCCACCAGGATCTTTTAATAAAATAATTATTTCCAGTGGTAATATTACCCTGTTTGTTATACGAGATCGTGAAAGCTGAAACGGAATAATCCTGCTAGCTTTCGCGTTGAGTAATGGTTATGGTTCTTGAAGAGTTTAATTTAATATCGATCAGGCGCAGAATTTGTTTCTGTATCGCTTTATTGCCTAGGAAAATGAAGTTTTCATTCGAACCAAAATTTATTAATGTCGCTGGAATTGTATTTATTTCTATGGTTTTAACATTCAATTTTCAAGAAAAATTTAATTAAACATCTCGTTCGGATTCTATTTAAATAAACGAACGGTTGCATAAACTTTGAAATTGGTGGGTGCAATTGTTTTTCAGAAATAAGCCACGAAACATTTTTCAATTTCGGGGTCATCAAAGTAGGCTAAACTGTTAATGTCGCGTCCCCTTTTAGGTCTCTTATGTTTTCATTTCCTGCTCTTTTCTGGCCGGCTGCTTCGCTTCTCGTTCCTGATTTTCCGTTTTCGCGCACGTACGCCCGCCTATCAGAAGCGGATACGAGCACGCGACGTCATTTCGTCGCGGAAAAGGGGAAGATAAGAAGCTTCGTAAGAGGTTTTCTTTAATAAATACCTCGCCACCGGCGAACGGAAACATAATGAAGCCAGCTTACGCGAAATAGTCTCGTTCGATGTGGAACACGAAGTACAGACTTGCAAAAAATCGAAATTAATTAACTGAAGAATTGAAACGAAGGGTGCAACATTCTATTTAATCTTTTCGCGAGCAATTGTCGCACAGCCGTTTCCTGTCACGATCCTTTGGCATAAATTAAAGTATCAGCAATTCCATAGAGTTTCAATAATATTCATTTTCAAGGTCCTTTGTAATTCAATGGTAATTAACTTTCATTCCACTGCACCCCAAGCAAAGAAGTCCGACCACTTAATACTCAATTAACCGTTTCCTTTCTTTGGAGCCCATTTAATATCGTTTTACAACAAAGCTCGTCAATTTGAAATTTCGTTATTTTTAAGAACTTCGTCAGGGATCATGTCGCGAAATTCGCGTTACGTTGAAAACCGTGAACGAGGAAACTCGCGTCGTCTCCGCCTGCCATTAATCACAATTCCCCGTTTCAGAGGCAAATTTCATTATTTAGGGAACGCGAAACAGGGATGTCCACCGTCGCGACGAGGGCTGCCGACGTCAGTGGCAGAGGAAACTGCCTCAAAGGCGAACAACGTGAACAAAGACAGATTGTGTTAAACGTAATCGGTGACGTGCGCCTCGAAAGCGTATTTGCCAACGTTTTTCACGTGTGAGTGCTTTGACTATGGCGCGGAAAATCGGACGATTAGGTGGACTGATATTCTCGATAATCGATAGACTAAACCATTTAAAAAAAGCTAGGAACGCTAAATATTTTTGGTCGCGACAGTTTTATTCTTTCGGTACTTCTATATTTATTTCAGATTGGTTTTGATCAGTTTTTGATCGTCTTTGGGGTAGATTTTAGAGGGTGATTAAATAGGGCGAAACATTTGAGACTGTGAATTATAATATACAGTATTTTATAGACTTCAATGAACCACGCTAATTCCATCACCTTATTCCATTCGGTCATTCCATTCATCGATTCCATTAAAATTTTAATATATACCAGTCGTACATATATGCAACAAACCAGCGAACCATCCCTTGGTTTACATTTCGTCCCGATCAGGCTTGTCCATCCTCGCCAATTTCAGTCTGCTTATTCAGCGAAAGGAGTTTACTCTTGGATAGGTTTGAAATTTTGCCAAACATTCGCTGCTCGGAGTAACGTTACACTTTCAGCCTCGATACCTGAGAGCAAATGGTTCGCGAGCTCGTGTCCCGTGCCGATTTCAAGCTCGACCGATCAGAGATCGATGGAAAAAGGAGGAAAAAGCGTTACAACATCAAAAGAGACGCGAGTGTTTTCTCTATATCATAAACTACCTTGCATCGATTAACCTGAATCGTCTCAGACATTCCCGAAAGCGAGGGAGAAGGGTACGAGGGAGATTCCAAGCAGCGAAAATATAAACGAAAGATGTAAAAAGCGTCTGGCAAGGGAGAAAGCATCTTTGATGTTCGATTTCGAGGATATATAACATTAAATCGTGGTACTTTAATACAGTACTAATTATGATTCTCTACATTAATCATAATTAAACGTACCAATAACTTCGAGCAGCTGCGGACAAACGCGAAAAATGTACGTCTGCAAGGGAATTCGTTTCCTTTTAAAATTATTCTCCCCGTTAAACGGTCCAAATTTTATGCAAATATCCCCAAGGCCGATAAACAAAAACGTGTATCGCGGTGAGTCATAATTCAACCGAAAATTAATTCCACCCGCGATCCGTATCGCGGTACAAACCCACCGTATTTCATCGAGATCCCTCTTTTGCATACAGTAAAATTACCTCTAACAGCATTTTACTTGGTACCCTCATTGCATTCCAATTAGAAAAATGAGCAAGCATTACACGAGCCAAGGGAAACCACTGGAAAGGTACCAAAAAACGAAGCAGACATTTATTCATAAATTCGCGATGTAGCATTCACCCTGCTCCCAACTCGATGGACACTACAGGGTGTCCATGCGATAACTACTTCAACAGAGGGTTGAGGAAAATAGCAGTGCTCAATTTTGTTGTTGTTGTGAAAGAGCTCTTCTTTATTTGAATTAGAAATATTTATTCGCTACACTTTTTTATTAATTCAGTCGCTTGTCTTTATAGAATTCTAAAGTTGATTGAATTACCCAGGTTTTTATAGTCTCCAGTCTCCCACTATAGACTGGAGGCTCCTTAGAATCGAGATACACTCGACGAAAATTCGTTTAAATCTACGACCACGGTTCTACGCGACCCACTATCGCTCGAGAGATTTATGTTAATTAATTTTCTACAGAACCGAATATTCCGCGTTGCTAATATTAGAGGATGTTCTACTAATACACAGAATATTCCGCGATCCACGCGGCGCGTTCGAGTTGATTATGATTTAGAAGATTTCTCCGAGTTCCATAAACTGGGTTACGAATCGGTCCCGAAGCACATACGCGAGATTAAAGCGTAAACTAGATCTGCAACACTCTCCAAACACGATGACGCGAGGTGCACGCTCCGATATTTATCTCATTCTGCGATAAGTAAATTCAGACGTAGCTCCGCAGACGCCCAGTCACCGAAAAAGCAAATAATGAAAGCTGGCGAATGTAGAGTGGCAAATATGGACGAGTAAACATCCCGTACGATAAGTTGCTGAATAAGGAACTGCATGGCGAAACGAACATGCCCGAAATTATATTAAGAACATTATTGCATAATTTTATACTATATTTCTACACTTTTCTTATTTTCTATTATAGAATTTTCGAATTTCAACAGTCATAGTGTTTGTCGAATTATGCAAGTTAAATAAATTTACGAAAAGGGAATTTCAGTTTTGGTGGACACTGTATAGACACGGAGTACGATCACTCTAATTTGTTAGGATGCTGAGAGAGGACTGTCAAAGGTGGAGGCTGCGGTTTTCGTGCCTCGATGCGAGTAGTAATAGCGTGGATAGGGTCAAGCCAAGTCTGACCAGAATTCATCTCGACTACTGAAGCCACCTACTTCCGTCGGAATTATTATCGGGATTTTCGCATGAAAACTAAGCAGACAATGGCGAAATAACGAGATGCAGGACGAAGCATCGCGCACAAAAGACCACATCATTTTTAACGAGACGTATCGATATTCAAGATAGAGGCAAACTCGTAGAGCAACTGGGAACGAAAGCCATCTTTGGCGAAAGAAAATTTATATCTTGAAAGCTTTCAGGAGAAGAGAAAACGGTGGCATTTGATGTCCAATGTTTTTATGTTTCGTTATATACACTCCTGCATTTCAGATTCTAATTGATTTTAAGACGATGTATAATACCAGGGACATATACCAGGGACATGAGCACTAAAAATTTGAGTTTAACTCTATTTTACTTGTAGAATATTTGACGATGAAGCTTTTACAGAGACTTTGCATTTGAAATTCTTATTACTCTCCCAGAAATTAATTGAAAAACAATGATACAAATCCAAAATGCAGGCTTTTCTCCAAAAGGAGCTTCACCGTTAATATAAACATGCACAAATATATCGTATAACCAAAATAAACGAGATGTATTGTAGAACCCCTCTGAGAAACCACCCTTTACAATTTATTGAAATTACATTTTTAACCACTCGTTATAATTTCATTTCTGCAGTTTCCATCGTAGATCGAATCGTGGATCAAAGGCGAGGCGAGCTTTCGAACGTTCGAACGTACCTCTACGAGTGGAAAAATGATCAAGTAAAAACGTAATTGCAACGTTACGC